AGCTTTATTCAGTTTTTTCTCATACAGTACAGTTTAAATCATTTGGTTAGTCCTTAAGTTCTTTGTTCTAAATTGGGCCTGATCTTTTTTTCTCTGTATTTTCAGGCGTGTGGAAAGTCTTCCATCCCTGGAGCGGGCGACCAAATACAACCCCATGTATGAAAGTGAAGCCACAACAGGCTACAGCCACTACTACCGGCGTTATCCTGAAGCCGCTATGTACAGTAGTGCCAGCCCTGAAGCATCAACTGACTTTAGCAGCGAGGAGATTCGCCATATTTATGAGAACAGTGAGCTGACCAGGGAGGTGAGAATCTTCTGCCCGCTATAGGAAACATAACCAACAGTTATTCTGCTTGGAAGATATTCTTTAAAGCTGTTATTTTCTTCATTTCTTGTTAAAAATCACAGGATTGACCTGACTTATGTTAGATTTTTTGATAATTATTGCCAATGTAGCCAAGATGGACATATAACATGCGATACAATGCACTGCTTTAAACAGAGCACTTAACACACAACAAGATAGCAGCCATGACTATGATACTTCACTTTAGTTTAGTGATTATTTTAGACTGAAACTGCATAAAATATCAGTCCAAAGGTTTTTTGCAGTATATTTCAAGCATACAGTATGTCAATCTTCCCTTTCTTGTGAGGTGTGTAATAATTTTTCTAACCACATTCGAAGAAGCAACCTTTTCTATTCTGCCCACCTCAGGATGACACAGCCTATCCGTGTAACTGACCTGTTTGATTGACAAGATTCTCTACGGCACTTATATGCATTCACTTTATCACTTAATTTCAGTGTCGTCAAAAATAGAAAAAGAAAAGTTATTCCAGGGTTTCTTACCATAAATTAATGGGGATGTTGTGATATAATGCTACGTTCAGACCTCACGCCTTAGAAGACGCAAATAAAACTCCTGCTACTTCATTTTCTATGCTTTTACACATTAAAGGAAAAGTCTGGTCAGCAAGGAAAAATCAATGGATGATTATTAGTATCTAAAACTAATAGGTTTGCGACGATTTAAAGAATTTAGCATTAATCAGTAAAATAATAAAAAAATATAATTTTTGTCATGAACACTAAGTCTGGGAGCGGCCATTTTTGCCCAAATATAGTAACACCTCACTCCTGCCATCTTCCGGCAGTGATGTCACAGTGCAGTAAGTCGAAGTCTATTCTCCCCGCTTTACAAGCAAAATCAATGGGAGCTACTAGACACACATGCAATCAACAACAATTATTTAAGATGTCGAGAGGACTTCCCTGTTGAATTTCGTGAGAGCTATAGTTAAACTGACAATGCCCACATGCATGGTTGGTGGATGTTGGGTAAAAGTGAAAAAGAAATTAGTTATTTAAACCTTTCCGATTCATGATCCACCACAGACAGGTTACTGCGGTCCTGGTCATTGGATTGCCAAATAGTTTTTCTCTGGCCAGAGAAAAACATACGTAATATGTAGCCAAAATTTTAAAGAAGAATTTCTCCAAGATGACTTGAATAATAGCGTGTTGTGACAAACACCAGATAGAGCACTGGGACTTGCTCAACAGCCGATTCCGCACCATGACGTCACAACCGGTAGGTGACAGTAGTGTTCTTTGATAAACATTGATGCCTCCAGTAAAGCACATTTAAATGAAATTACTCTAAAAACACATCATTTTTTGAACAGTATGTAATAATTTCATATTTAAAGTACTTTAAGGGGTTTGAATTCTTAATGTGACCAGACTTTTCCTTTAATGTCCGACACGCCTCAAGTGCATCTGTAACGCTCCTGAAGTGCGTCCAGTAAAGTGTGTCCAGATGCGTCTGATGCTTCTGCTGCTCTTGGGTTCAATGGCAGAGAGCAGCTTTGCTATATTTGCTGTTATAAGTTGGTGAAAAGTAGTTTTAAAATGTTTTTAAGTGAGAAACTCCACCTGTGTGGTCAGTTCATCAAGATTACGATCCTGCCATCAAATATTATGTTGCTGTCGGAACCACGCAGACTGTCGCTGGAAATCCCCTTCAACAGCAGCGTCTGGCCTGGTCGCCTTTTTGGGGTTTTCAGCTACTGTTCATTGTGGCTGGAAGTAGATTTCAGCTTTTGTGTATGTAATTCAAGCTGCACACACCAGTTTGATAAAAGCAAACATATTTTGCTGGCAGGTTTGCGGCTTGAAATGCGCTGCAGGACCTTTTGATGCACCTTGATGTGCGTCAACCATTGACTTTGCATGTAAACCAGCTACTTCTGCTATTTCAGCAGCGTGCGGTCTGAATGTAGCATAAGTCGGGGACAGAACTAGTCCTTGGGCAGATCCTATTGGAACACCTTTATATAGGCAGAGAAGAAAAGACTGAATGTCTTCCATTTAACTTCCATGTATTCTCTAAGAGATGTTTTTTATTTAACCATTGGTGTTTTTTTTTCAAACCTTAAGTTAGGAGGTGAAGAAAGAAAATATAACGGACAGGTTTATCTTATTGTAAACACGGCAGTGGTTGGTGTGAAACAGTGTTAAAAGTGAATAACAGAGAGCTTTTGTTAGGTTTAAAACAGTAATATCTTTTTTGGTAGAAGAGCTTGATAAAACGGAGAGGTATGCTGTTGGAAGTGTTTTGTTAGGAGTTGCTTAGCTGCATCTTGGCCTGGGCAGGTTTTCACTAACTGATTCAGACATGAGTTCTGGCTCCTATCAAACAGTGCTTGAAGGTAACAAAGGCTCATCTGTCAGGAAATTGGAGAGGAACTCAAAATAGACCTTTCAAGAAGATAATGATCCTTAGCATGGTAGCAGTTTTAAGTTATAGCTGAACATAGAGGAATGACTGTCTTTGGAAAGCCCAGATAAAATCCCTAAAAGACCTGCAAATGCTTTTGTTTTGTTCAAGTTTTGTTCATTGAGTCAAATAAGCAACTTGAATAAGTGACAAACAAAATAAGATTGTTTTTTAAGTATAAATAATGACAGCAAAACAGTCAAAAGATCTCCATAAGTACAAAAAGTGGAAAGGCGACTGCCCAAAAGGAAACTGGGTGGCATTCATAAACCAGACATTATTTTCTTTCCTACTGTCTGCATCCATAGCAGTCCTTCATGAAGTTTATCACTTGTTTTTATTTTGATGTCCCTTATCGAGTAAAATCCTGTTTTTTTCTGCAGGAAATCCAAGACAGGATACGGATCATTGAACTCTACGCTAAGGACCGGCAGTTTGCAGACTTTGTGCGGCAGCATCAAGCGTGAGCTCACTTGTTTCTAGCTTTTAGACTAAGATTAGATAAATTCATGTCCAGATAAAAACAAAGATATGTGGCACATAAAAGGGAAGTGAGTCTGACTCTAACAAGACTAAAGAGGAAAAGGGTTTGTTTGTTAGTCATGCGCTGGAAGAGACGACGAGTTAAGGTCATGCCAAGCCGGTGAGGAAACAGATTTATCATTCCTAAGTTTCAGCCAAGTCCGGAGCTGACACAGTCAGACAATAACAGTCAGAATCAGACATCGCTTTAACTGCCACCAGCCTGGTAAGGGTGGTGTCCATGTGGATTATGGTGTTTTTTGAGCTATGTCCTATTTTCCTGTTGCTCATCATGCTGTATAGCAGACAAAAGTCGAAATGCTGCTTCATCTGAGTTTAGCAGTAGTTTTCTTTTTCTCTAAAGTACAGAGCTATCAGAAAATTAACATTGTTTTCACCCTTTTAAATGTTCATGCATGTGTTTCAGGGTCCTGGATACTCGCAGAGAAAGCTCCTCCACCCACACATGAAGCTGCACACAAGGTACTATAGGTTATGTTTGATGTAATTTAAAAAGTGAACCCATTCATTGAGACATAATGCTGACAAAATAAAACCTACCATGGTCATAATGATGTTTCGTAGTAAGAAATGTTTTAAATAGTGTCACTTACCTGTATCGATCCCAGTGGTAAGCCTCAAATGGAACAAATGGAGGAATTGCTGGTTTGATGATTTCCTCAATAGCGAAAAATGAAGTGCTTTAAAACACTAATGTTGCGGCAAATCTAAACCATTTTACTAACAAACCTTCTGTTTCACAGGAACCCACCCTCTGATCAAAAATGAAGCTCTCTATCAGGATGCTTCCTTCATTGCCATTTTCCTCGTACTCCGGATTGTTTAGGTTATTTTTAGCACTTTTTTATTTGAGACATTGCGTCTACTGTGCATCTATCCCTCTGAACATGGACATTAACCTTTCATCCACGTACCTCTGTGCCTTCTTCTGACTGGGTGAGCGTCCTGTGAAGTTGCGGCCCGTTCCTGCTCATGTTTTTGCTGCTTATAGATCAGACTGTTGGGAAAACTTGGCCTCATCCTGTAACTTGAACAGAAATGTAACAAAAATAAAACAACAATTAACTATTGTTTAATGGGATAGCTGTCTAATTGTATTGTCTTCTGTCTGCCTTCTCTTAAAGGGGAAGAATATGAGTTTCAACATGTTTATATAGTTAAACTGATATTCGTCTATCGGTGGTGTACTCTGTCTTTGATATTTGTAATGATCAGATTAAGTTCTTAGCTCAATCAGAGAGCATTCGAAAAAAAGTGGTTCTTTTTTTTAGTTGTTGGTGCTATTCTAACTTTAAAGAACCTCCTGTATATGTTATATTTTTGTTGATTTATTTTACAGTCTAAAGCCAGCACCAATTGATGGAATTTGTAATAGAATAAAAGAATGTCCACCATTTTGGAAAACCAGAACAAATGCCAAATCATAGTTTCCTGGTCTTTTTTCACTTTTGCTTTGTTATGGTTCAAACGTAAATTAACATCCAGCTGTAAAGATCAGTTGGTTCATGTTGAAGGAAACAAGACAAAACTCTAGAACTTTAATTGAAATCATTATACACATTTTGTATTAAGTATGTCCAAGACACTGGACAGTTTTACTGTGTCTGATTGTGTTTGATGTGTACCCAGAGCTATGAAGCACGATTCAGCAAAAGTTTGTTTGTGTGTGAGCAGACATGGATGTCTGCAGCTTGGTCTGTTTAAGTCAAAATTGCCAAGATAGTTGAAAAAATCGCCTAGTTAGTAAATAGTGTCCATATGTGCGCACCTTAATCTTAGCTTGAATACAGCTGTTCTAAAAAGGCCTCAGGAGTTTCTTATAGAACATTAGTGGGGGAAAAAAGCATGTTGACGACTAAGCAACACAGCAGGAAGATCAGGGATAAGGTTTTGGAGATGTTTCAAGTAGAATCAGGTGGCTTAAATACAATCCTACATATACATGGACCACTTTACAACCTAAACTTTGAAAGGCCTCTGAGAAAGCTGGAGCAGCTGCAGCGATGAACAACCCAGGCAGGAGAGTCTGTTGACTGGAAAGTGTAGGCCAAAATGAAACATGGTGGTGGTGACATCATTGTATGGGGACTATTTTCTTCAACAGAGGCTGCAATAGACTAGAGACTGGGGTCGTTGCTTATCTTTCAGCCAGACAAAAACCCGTCCACTTAAAATTAGGGCATCATTGGAGTGGTTTTAAAATCAAAGGCCATGTAGGCGTTACAATGGCCTAGTCAAAGTCCAGATCTTAATTCAATTAATGATTTAAGGAAAGGCATGAAATTTAAGCTTAATAGATTTTCCCCATCCAATCCCAGTCTCTAGATCTGTCCAAACCTCTTGCCTACCACAATAGATTTGAAGATGTAATTGCATCTTAGAATCAACATGTGGAGCCTAAATACTTATCCACAACATACCTTTTAGATCTTTGCTTGGAAAAAAAATCTTGCCTCTACTTCAGTGATTCTCTACTTTGTTTGGCATATTTATCACTGAAATCCTTTGAAAATTGTATAAATGATTTCATAGCAATTGCAAATATTGTTGCAAACACAAAAATGAGACAAAAATAAGGACAGAGCTAGAAAAGCACTCAGACATCTGCCAAGCAGCAAATTTTAAATTGTGACTTACACCTATAGATAAGACTCAAAGACTGTCTGGATCATCACCAAATATAAATGAATTGTTCCTTGGCATGAGGTACACCTGTGGTAAAAAAAAAAAAAAAAAAAATTAATTCATAGGTTTTCAATTCATCCTGCTAACAAACCAACAATGTTCCTTTTTCTTGTGGTTTCCTCTTCAGTAAAACACCTCCGGTCTTTTTGAGCCTGAGGCTGAGGCTGTCAACAGTCACTGCTGCCACCCTCTGGTTTAATACGGAACTACTTGTTCCACCAATTATCCCCATCTAACAATGTTAGAGAATTTAACTTTTTTATTTATTTATTCCTGTATCCAGATTATAATTTGGATTATCACCGGAATTTCATGGATTGTTCCTTAGCATGAGGGACAACTCTAAGAAAAAAAATTTCATTAAAATCCATTCATAACTTTTTATGTTACACAGACAGACAGACAGACAGACAGACAGACAGACAGACAGACAGACAGACTCCTAAAACATAACCTCAGTGGCAGAGGTAAAAATACTGCAAAGGAGGAAAGCTGCAATCAGCAAAGTGCAAAAAACTGAAAATTCAAAACCTGCTGTAAATACATAAACACCAAACACATGCAAAGGGGAAAATGCAGCAAGTGGCAAAAATAACTAACAAAAAGCTGCAAACTTGCCCCACATAAGAAAAGGACTCAAGATTTCTAGTGAAAGACAATTATCATGGAAAATATAAAGCAACAGTAATCTGCACTGTTCTGAAACAAAAGGAGCAGTCTGCTGTCTGAACTGGGGGGTTGCTTCAGATGTTTTTCTCCTCCAAGGTTACTCTGCCTTTCTCCATGGAACTGATTGACAAGCCTTTGGGTCTCTAATGCATTACAAAGCAGATAAAAACATTTAAGCAGCGATCATGAAGGCATTCAGCCTTGAAAGTTGAATCTTAATAGTCTGCTTTCAGTTCCACACGTTACACGACGGAGAGTCCAGGAGAAGAAAACACAGCCTGATCCCTAAAAGGCACTCTTATTCTAGGTATTCTTAGAAACATCTGCACTGCTAGCTGTCTTTTCAACATGAAACCTTCAGGTTGACTAATCCTGTGGTTCCCCTGCTATTTGTACACTTTTCCTCTGGTTTGTTATCCTTGATCCCAATCATCCATGGAATGGCTCTTCACATCTGCACCTGGTTATGATCTGCTTGTTAATGCTGTCAGCCAACGTGAGCCTCCATGTTTTGGAGGTCAAAGCCCCACATAGATCTCAGTTCAGCTTCTTGCCAAGAATTACATTTTGCGTTAGACGTCCACCCAAGTGAAAATACATTTTTGGAGCATACCCTTGTGTCATTGTCATGCCTTTCGTTATTAGTTCAGTTTTATTTCCATGTTTTTGTGCGTGCATCAGGTTATTGCTGTTAACCATCACCTTCTGCCACCTGGTTCAACCAGAAATCAACAGTGTTCATTCATTTAATTAAACCGCTAATAAAATCAGTAAATCCTGTCGGTCTTCAGTGTCTTTGTTTTATATTGATGACTGTAACCTATGCTATCATCTCGTGCAGTTGTAATGGTAATAAAACCAAATACTTTATACAAAACCTTAAATCTGGTCTAGTAATTCAATCTAGAATCAGACTTTTATTATAGAAGTACTTTTCATATCATTTGAACAACAAAAATACAGCTACAGTATAAAATACAGCTTGATGATTTAAAATTTTGAATAAAAAGTTTATTTTAATCATTTTACTTTATTAGACCTATTATAATTAATGTGACAAATTATACATTTTAAATACTGGTTTTTCAGACTTAATTAAATGTTTTAAAATTTTTTTTTATGTTTATGTTTTCTTTATCAGCTCTTTTGCATCCCTCGTGGCCACAGCTTTACTTTCCCATGGGAAGTGTGAGAACAGACTTTGTCTTTTCTCTGTGAGCTTTTATGTTGTAGGTGATTATCCCCCATCCGGATAATCTGAAGATGAGATTAGCCTCAGAAAGTATGGATTACAGGTTTATCTACAGCCACGACGGTTTCTAAAAGGGTGCACACTAGTAATCAGTCTGCACATACTGTACAGCATGAGCTCATATGCACATGAACAAGACCCTACTAAACAAGCATTGACTTGGGGAAGCTGTTGGTGTAAACACTTGTTCATTTAGTGTATTGGATCCAGATGCAGCTTGAAGTGCATCCATGCTGACAATAGGCTAAGCTGTAAACATTTTCTAGGTTTTTCACCATTATATTTCTTAAGTGAAATTTGTCAAAAAACATATCTTAAATAATTTAGATTTGATACAGTTTAAACACTCTAAATCAGTGGCGCTGCTGCTCTCTGAAACAGGGGAGGCACAACGGTGCTAATGAAATCCAAACGTCATCTATTAATAAATGTCTAGACACATAAAGCACATCACTACAATGGGTGAAAATAGCTCTCGTGAGGGTTTCTGGAATAGTAAACTTTCAGAATTCTGCACAAGATGACTGTTCTGACTGAATGATCACTTTTCCCTCTCGACTCATGAGAACAACTTCCTCGCCGCTTTCTGGCTGTTTGCTGATCAGCATTGAGCAGGCAACTTCACGACCCACCCCTGCTACATAGACCCTCTAAGAGGTTTAACCTCACTGGAAGTAACGTATTTTGGCGTGTTATACAATCAGGGCTTTAGTTTCTTGCTGCTTACCTCAATAGACCAAGGCTCAAACCTCAACAGAGATTTCTCATGAGGCTCTGCTGCTCCAGGGCGGAGGGGAGATTGTGTCAGAGAGTGGGTTCAAAAGCTGATTAATGTGCAACATACTCATGAAATCAGGTGCATTTTAGCGTACATTTTATGCAGTTTAATGATTTTATTTTTTAAGTTTGACAATGCGTGGTTTAGCAATAATTATACAAAATTTAAATAGATTTGAATTAAAAGATCTTTTCTCTAGCCACCTCAGAAAAAAGCAACTCAAATGTCATATAACCACATTAAGTCCTACAGTATATGGCAATTTGATGAGGACAGAGTCAATTCCAATGCTGCCAGAGAGCGGTATCTTGGATATCCAACTACCCGAGATCCAGTTCATAGAATTGAAGGTCACCATAACTAAAACGTTTTCATCGAAATTAATGATGAAAACTATGGACTATGATTCCAGTCAGAGAATGAAGGCCCATAGGGAGGGATTTGAGTTTCTTTTTTAATGGAAATCGCTGGGCTTTACGTTAGAATTCAATGTGGTACGTGTGAATGCAGAGATCTGTGGGTGTGTATGTGTTTGTGGTTTGAAAAGAAAGCCAATAATACAAAATATAACAAAAATGTTTAGCATATTTTTCAAAAATAACAAAATAAACATTCCAAATAAGCAGCCATATCAGCATTGTATTTCTAAGTTGGACCAGTAATATTCCTAAATTGTGCAAAATAATACTTGATCATAACAGCAAAGATGCAGTATTATTGTTTAAACAAAACCAGTTTCATCATTACTTCAAGTGAAACATTGCTTAACAGCACGGCAGTGAAACAACCACATTAAATAATTAAACACTTCTCATATTAGATAAGAAATTCAAATAAACCTAATTTCAATACTGGCATTTCACCCATAATACAATCAAATTATTACATGCCCTAGAATTTAGCTGCAGCACCAGCAAATAAAGGTGGATAAATAAATGCTACTGAAACACATGACATTTG